GAACATACTGAGATTGATAAGATACTAGTGATGCTCACTTGAAGTTGGTGGCAATAAGTTTAAAGTGACTTATAAAGCACAGAAGTTGATATCTAGTACTTTCTTTCCTCTGCTGCCCAAACTACACAGGTGAAGAATGAGTAAAGATTAGGTTCTTGTAGTTATTGCTATGTCAAGCAAAATATTCATTTAATGAGCCAAGAATGATCCAGAGAAATTTAGACTGTACAAATAGATGGTTTTAATGAGCAAGACAATTTGAAATGGATTAGTAGGAAAAGAGAGAAGAGTCAGAGAGACAGAAAGTTGAGTGGGATGGGGAATCATAGCCTGCTGGTGAAAATGGCCCATTTAATGCAGAGTTGCTAGCATACTTATAGAACATCTGAGGGGCTTGGGGTAAGGACATAGGTGTGATAGATCATTTACATAGATCAACATTTGACAGGGGAAATTCTTTTGGGGAGATCAACTCAAGAAGACACTGCCTCCCAGGGACATCTACATTGCTTTTATCTTTCCCTCTAGTTGTAAAAGTTATCAAAACCTGCAATTGTTTGGATAAACACAGTAAGAGACAAAGATACCAACACTTAATTCTCTGGGCTGAGAGCAAGCAAGGCTTTTAACAATTAGTTCTCTGAATTCAGAGAGCAAGTAAGGTTTATACTGTAAATCCCAGACTAAGTCCTCAGGCCAGTTCAGCTTGTCATTCCCCTTGGGGGTCCTGTCTTTTAAGTTGTAACAGCTTGCATCAAGACCATGCATTTAGGCTTTCTTAGAATGTCCCATTTCGATGCCAGGTAATTTTTCCACTCGCCATCCCAGTCCCACGACAGGACCACCCTTTTTTTTTTTTAAATTTTTTTTTATTAGTCGGGCTGGAGCGATAGCACAGCGGGTAGGGCGTCTGCCTTGCATGCAGCCAACATGGCCGACCCGAGTTCGATTCCTCCGCCCCTCTCGGAGAGCCCGGCAAGCTACTGAGAGTATTCGATATGCCAGACACAGTAACAACAAAGTCTCCAATGGAGACGTTACTGGGCCCGCTCGAGCAAATCGACGATCAACGGGAGGGCCTTTACCTTTACCTTTTTATTAGTGAAACACCATGAGGTACAGTTGTAGATTTACAATTTTTTGTGCTTGGGTTTGATTATACAATGATCAGATACCCATCCCTCCACCAGTGCCCATTTTCCACCACCATGGATAATATCCCCCCCACCCCCATCCCCCCATCCCCCCCTGCCTCTGTGGCAGGGCAATCCCCTGTGTTCTCTCTCTCCTTTTGGGTGTTGTGGTCTGCAAAAGAGGCATTGAGTGGCAAACATGTTCAGTCCATAGTCCACTTTCGACATGCATCTCCCCTCCCTCCTGGGAGGGTCCTCCAAACACCCTTTATTTGGTGTTCCCTTCTCTATCTGAGCTGCCCTTTCCTCTAGAATGCCCAACTGACCACTAAGCTATGGAGTAATCCTCCTGGTGCTGATCTCAGCTATTCTTGGGTATTAATCTCATATTTTGTTACTTTATATCCCCCAGATGAATGCAATCTTTCTATGTCTATCCCTCTCTTTCTGACTCATTTCGCTTAGCATGATACTTTCCATGTTGTACCACTTGTACATAAATTTCATGACTTCATCTTTTCTAACAGCTACATAGTACTCCATTGTGTAGATGTACCAAAGTTTCTTTAACCAGTCATCTGTTCTTGGGCATTCAGGTTTCTTCCAGTTTCTGGCTATTGTAAAGAGTGCTGCAATGAACAAACAAGTGCAGATGTCACTTCGACTATACATTTTTGCCTCTCTGGGATATATTCCCAGGAGTGGTATTGCTGGGTCAAATGGGAGCTCAATTTCTAATTTTTTGTGAATCGTCCATACTGTTTTCCAGAAGGGCTGAACCAGTGGACATTCCCACCAACAGTGAAGGAGTGTCCCTTTCTCACCACATCCGCTCCAGCATAGCTTGCTTTTGTTCTTTTGAATGTGGACCAGTCTCTGAGGTGTGAGATGGTATCTCATTGTGGTTTTGATCTGCATCTCCCTGATGATTAATGATGTAGAGCATTTTCTCATGTGCTTTTTTGCCATTTGGATTTCTTCTTTGAGAAAGTTTCTGTTCATTTCATTGCCCCATTTTTGGATGGGGTTGGATGTTTTCTTCTTGTGGAGTTTAACCAGTATTTTGTATATCCTGGATATCAACCCCTTGTCAGATGTGTATTCGGTGAATATCCTTTCCCATTCTGTAGACTGTCTTTGTATTTTGGTCACTGTTTCTTTGGAGGTGCAGAAGCTTCTTAGTTTAAGATAAGGACCACCCTTTTGGGGTTTAAGGAACTGCAGCAACTGAAGCCTGAGTCAAGGAATTATGACCAAGTAATTATACGCAGGAGCAAATATATTTCAGAGCCAATCAGCTCCCAAATATTAGGACCATAGCACTAATGGTCTTTCTGTGTTTAACCAAAGAATATTGCTCTATAGTAAACTATAAAGAGGCTACAGGGGAAATAGAAAAGCAGGTACAAATATACAGCACTTCAAATGCAAAGCAATACAAATACAATGTTCAGAATTACCAGAATGTTTGGTTTGTAAGTAATTAAGACTAACTTGGGGAACTGTGATAATGAGAGGTAAAATACAAGGAACCAGTTGAAGATAAACTTTAACTAAATTAGGGCTGCTAGCAAGAGCATGTTAAGCCTCTCTGGGAGGAAGAAAGGGGGCAATTCGTTGATGAAGCATAAAGCACTTAGGTTTAATATCCAACACAAAGTAAAGGTTGAAGATAGACTTTAACAAAAGTAGGGATGTTAGCAAGAGCATGGTAAGCTTCTCTGGAAGGTTGGAAGAGGTTATTCACCTGTGAAGCCTAAAACACTTAGGGTTGATATTCAACATGTACAGATATGAAAGAAATAACTAAATGGACTCATTAGAGTCTCTGACAAAGACTTATAAAGGAATATTCCAGGTAGAGAGACAAAATAAAATATGTATAAGAATTCTGAGACAGGAGTGAACTGAACATAGTAGGGTATCTTAATATTTAGAACTTAGTGCAACTGTTTAAAGAAATAGCATCTAAGTTGAGGAAGATGATATAGAATGTCACAGGCCATAATAAATAATTCAGAGTTTTAAAATTTTTCAAGCAGTGCATCAAATTTATATTTTAAAAAATGCTTAGTTAGGGGGGAACTGGATATTCACTGATTCTCCACTTTTTTATGGTATTGTTGGTTCTGTTGTTATTATTGTTGATAAGAAGTTTAAGGGCTTTATATGTCTTGGATACTGGTCCTTAGTCAAATGTATTGATGAGTGAATATTTTCTCACATTCTGTGTGCTGACTTTATTCTGCTCAAAGGTTTTTGTTTTTGTTTTGTACTGCAGAATCTTCTTAATTTAATGTAGTCCTATTTGTTTATTTTTGCTTCTGTTTGCTTTGACAATTACATTGAGTCATTGAAGATAACTCTAGTGTCAATATTATGTAGAATTCTTACATGTTTTTCTACATGCAATTTATAGATTTGATCTACTTCTAGTTGACTTTTGTGTATGGAATGAGATAGAGATGTAAGTACACTTTTATTGCTCATGGCTAACCTGTTTTCCACATGCCTCTTTGTTGAGGAGGTTTTCTTTGTTCCGTTAAAATAATGGTGGCCAGCAGGTGTTTTAAAAAGTGTTGTTCAGTACTTATTATCAGGTAAATAAAAATAAAAACAATGAGATGTCACTTCATACCAGTGATATCATCACACATCAAAAGGGTTAGAAACAAATGTTTGGGGGATGGAAATCATTATTGGTGAAAATGTCATTTGATTCAGTGTCTATGGAAAAATTAATTGGAGAATTATTTTCAACAGTAAAACATTTTAGCAATTCCACTTATTATAAACTACCCCAAAGGACCAAAAGCTATTTTTGCACTCATGTTTTTATTGCAGCACAAGAATTGAGATATGGCAATCACCCAGTTACCCAAGAACATATGAGAGAATAAAAAAACTGTGGTATCTATGCAAAATGAAACTAATCACTGTATCACTGTATCTCTGTCATCCTGTTGTTCATCGATTGCCTCCAGCAGACCCCAGTAACGTCTCCTTCGTCCTAGCCCTGAGATTTTAAAAAGTGCCATATTCGAGGATCTTTCAGGATCAGGATAATGAGACCCATCATTGTTTCCGGTTTTTGGCATATTGAATATGCCACTGGGAGTTTGCCAGACTCTGCTGTGTGGGTAGGACACTTTTGGTAGCCTGCCAATTTCTCCAGAGTAAGAACTAGATAATAAGGCGTCGCAGCCGCATGCTTCTGGGAGCTGGGTTTCATAGTCTCTAGGTCTTGACTGTTGATGGGATTAAACGGCGTGGAGGGGGGCAGTTGGTGGCTGTAATTCCTGCATACTGGAAGATGGGGGATCAGGGTGGAGGAGACCCCAGTCCCAATCCAAGCAGGCTTGGAGATCTATGCTCTGGGTCCCGCACACCTGGGTTCCTCTGCCAGCTCTTTCATGAGTGAGGCTTGTCGGAACATGTGGAGAGTGGTCTTAAGCATGGCTGTGGCTGGAACCAGATGTCTTCAGCTGCCGGGGCTCTGCTCAGGGTGGGGAGGGAAACTCAACCCACCCTCCTCCAAGGGGCCCCAGTAAGCACAGCCAGGTGCAGAGGCAGGAGACACTGAAAACTAATCATTTATAATAAAAAGTAAAAAATGCAGATAAAACTAGATGGTATCATGTTGTGTGGAAGAGAGAGACAGCAAGTAAAGAATGATATTTCATCAGAATAAAGAGACAAAGTAAGGAAATAACAATTGGTCATTGTAAAAGAATCTGAGACATGACCTACAGAACTCCGTCTGTCAAAGTTGGACATGTGGGAGGAGAACTTGGCTGCTTTTAGAGGGATACTTACACTCTTGTGTTGGGCATTGGGGACACTATGCTTGAAACCATTATTTTCTTTTTATGATCACAAATTTACAATGTAGACCAGAAAAAGAGCCTTACCTGAGGTGAAGAGAGAATGGGATTGCTATGCTCTCTCTAGACAGTTGGTATACAGAACACAGCCTGTGGTAAGCACCAGGAGGCCTGGAACTATATTATTTATTTATTAAATATCATTTGAAATAAACAGTATTTTAAATAATAATGCCTAAAGAAAATTTGGAGGAAAATAAATAATAAAGTTTACTTTGAACTTTTACAGAAATCAGAGCCTGGCAAGCTACCTGTGGCACATACGATATGCCCAAAACAGTAACAATAGCAGGCCTCATTCCCCTGACCCTGAAAGACCCTCCAATATGGCAGCATTGGTAAAGACAAGTAAGGAGAGGCTGGTAAAATCTCAGGACTGGGACAAATGGAGACATTACTGGCACCCACTCAAGTAAATCGATGAACAATGGGATGATAGTGATGACAGTGATGACAGAAATCAGATTGGTGTGTAGGAACTAAGATACAAATTCTATCAAACTCATTTAGTCATTCAGATGTGTTTCTGTGGTGGAGTTGACTAAGGTGATGGGCTGAATGTAGGTGTGGTTTTTGACCTGGAAAGAGGTGTAGACATGTGGGATCTGCTTTCTAGACTTGGGCATTTGTAATTTATTTATGGGTGTTCATAAACTAAATGAACAAAATGATAACTTCCACAATTTTTGACTTAAACAACCAGTGATGAGTGTTGTTATTTTGTGAGACAGTGAAGACAGAAGAGAACCAGTTGGTGAAGATAGACTTATTATCAGAAACTAAAAGTACCAGGAGGATTACTCCACAGCCTAGAAGCCAGTCTCACATGCTGGGGGGAAAAGGCAGTTCAGATAGAGAAGAAACCACCAAGTAAAGGGTGCTAGGAGCGCCCGCTTGGGATGGGAGATGTTTGCTGAAAGTAGACTATAGACCAAACATGATGGCCACTTAATATCTCTATTGCAGACAACACCCAAAAGGAGAGAAATAGCCAAACGGAATGCCCTGCCACAGAGACAGGGTGGGGTAGGGGTGGGGGATGGGGTGGGGTGGTGGAAGGAATACTGGTCGGGTAGTGACAGAGCTACCTGTCTGGGACCATTGGTGGTGGAAAATGGGCACTGATGGAGGGATGGATACTTGATCTTTGTGTGACTGAAATGCAAGCACAAAAATCTGTAAGTCTGTAACTATACCTCATGGCTATTCACTAATAAAAAATTTTTTTAAAAAATAAAGAAAGCTGCGTAAGTAGGAGATTTCTTTGGGCCAATGGGGATGGATGGAATTCAAAATGCAGAAGACATATTTTTGTTCAAAGTAAAGATATAAAGCTAGAAATTCACAGAAATATGAGAATAAGCTGCTGTTCCACTGTGGTAGAGTACTTCTATTTTCTCTTTGGTACCATACTATGACGTAGTATGCAATGACCTTATATATTGTTATGGCATGTACACTGGATCACTATCACTATCACTATCCTCCTATTGTTCATCGATTTGCTCAAGTTAGCCCAGTAACATTGTGAAACTTGTTACTGTGTTTGGCATATTGAAAACATCACGCGTAGCTTGCCAGGCTTTGCCATGTGGGCGAGATACTCTCAGTAGCTTGCAGGGCTCTCCGAGAGGGACGAAAGAATCGAACTCGAGTTGGCCAGGTTGGCTGCGTGCAAGGCAAACACCCTACCCGCTGTGCTATTTCTCCAGCCCATACACTGGATATTCAAGCTAATTTTCTTTCATTTTTCTTTTCATATTAAATCACCATGAGTTAATAAATAACAACATTAGTCATGGTTGAATTCCATGCTTGCCGTGTTCCAACACCAGTCCCTTCACCAGTGTCCCCAACCCTTCACCAATGCCCCCAGTTCCTCTCTTGCTTCTAAGCCTTTGTGACAGGCATCTTTTCCTGCTTTTTCCCACCAATTTCCTTTGAAGAACTGCAGTTTACAATACCATTGCCAGTAGAATACCATGTATCCGACTTTACATCCTTTCATCAACATGTCCTTCTCGTGGGTGACCACTTCCTGGGAACATCAGTGCTCTTTCCCTTCCCTGTTCTATCCGTTTCGCCACCCCTGCCCCTAGTGGCAAGCTTCCAACTGAAGTTCAGTTCCTATGCTGTTATGTTCTACTGCCTTTGAGAATTTCTCATTCCTTTGCAATTTTCTTTTAACCCACATGAGAAAACGATCATTCTGTAACGGTGCCTCTACCTTTGACTAATTTCACTCAGCATTATGCTCTTCAGATCTGTCCGCATAGTAGCAAATTGGATGACTTCATCTTTTCTTACAAAGAAGTAGATCCATAATGTATAAGTACCACAGTTTCTTTATCCATTCACCTCTTCTTGGGCACTAGGATTGTTTCCAGAGTTTGGCTATTGTGAATAGTGCCACAATGAACAGAGGAGTGAAGATGTCTTTTCTTCATTGTATATTTGGGACTTCGGGGTACATTGGAAGATGTGAAATTGAAGAATTGTTTGGAAGTTCAACTTTCAGTTTTTTGAGGAATGAACAAACTATTTTCCAAAAAGACTAAATGTGGACATTCCCACCAGTAGTGAATGATGCTCCTTTTTTCTCCCACTTCCACACCAACATTGTGTTTGTTATTCTCTGGGGTGTGGGCCAGTCTCTCAAGGATGAGGTGATGTCTCATTCTTGTTTTGATTTGCATTTCCTTGGTGTTTAGTGATATAGATCATTTTTTCAAATGCCCTTTGGCCATTTGTATTTCTTCTTTAATAATGTTTCTATCTTCTCATTTCTTTATGGGGTTGGACATTTTTTATCGTACAGTTCTATCAGTGCTTTATATATCTTAGATATTAGCCCTTTATCAGATGAGTGGTGGCATTTAGGCTAATTTTCTTAAAATATATATTTTGTTAATATTTTTTGGAGGGAAACCACTATGGTATGCTCAGGACTATCTTCTGCTTCTGTGTTCAGGGATCATTCCTAGTTGAGCTGAGAGAACCATGTGATATCAGAGGTAAAATCTGGGTCAGGTTCATGCAAAGAAAGCACCTTATCCACTCTGTATTACCTCTCTAGCCCCCAACCCAGTCCTTTAGAGGATTATTCATTTAAAAATATGTATCAATTAACTATAAGTAAATTTCAGTGTGGAGCAATAGCACGGTGAATAGGGCATTTCACTTGCACTCCGCCGACCCGGGCCAATCCAGTTTTGATTCCTCCATCCTTCTTGGAGAGCCAAGCTACTGACAGTATTCCGCCCACACGGTAGAGACTGGCAATCTCCCTGTGGCATATTTGACATGCCAAAAACAGTAATAAGTCTCACAATGGAGATGTTACTGGTGCCCGCTCGAGCAAATTGATAAACAATGGGAGAATAGTGATAGTACTACAAATTTCAGTGACTTTTCTGTGTGCAACTATATTAATAATCCTCACTTGCATGCATGGTCTTAGTTTCACATCTTTCAAAATGGTATGGTTAATTGGTAGATGCCTGGTAAAATTTTCATCAGTATAACTAGCCCATATTTCTTACTTTTTAAGTATGTTAAATTTAGTCACATAGTTAAATTTAGTCACATATGTGAAACTACTAATACTAATAGTATTGGGCTGGAGTGATAGCACAGCCGTAGGGTGTTTGCCTTGCTTGCGGTTTGATTCCTCCACCCCTCTAGGAGAGTCCCACAAGCTACCGAGAGTATCTCGACCGCATAGCAAAGCCTGGCAAGATACTCATGATGTATCCGATATGCCAAACACAGTAACAAGAAGTCTCACAATGGAGACATTACTGGGCCTGCTCGAGCAAATCGGCAAACAATGGGAGTACAGTGCTATACAGTGCTTAATAGTAGTCGTAGTAGTGTTATTATTATTTACATTTTTTCCTACAGCAATTAGATTTTGTAATTTAAGTTTGTATAAAAACTTATTTAATACCTGGTTAAATGCCAACTATACTGTTGCCTGTAACAGCAAGTTTGTAAGAGCATTACATTTTCTCCTTCAGCAGAATTATAAGATCCTTAAAGATATAATTATAGCATTATAAGTGTTTGTTTATATAACATATGACACTAGAAGGCATCAAATAAATATAGTTCATATTACTTTGGTAACAGTGGTAATACTGTTCCCTGGAATTGTTATTTTATTCAGTAAATGTTATCTGGAGACAAGATAGCAGGTAATATGCTGTTCTCTAAAAATATAATGATAGATAAATAATTATTACTCTTTAGAAAGCTTAAAATTCAAGGAGAAAGAAAAAAGGCAATGCAATATTTTTGTAGAAGTAGGAAATTGGAAAAACTTAAGTAACAAAATCACATGAGCAAGTATGTTATAATATTCATAGTAACTGTAATGTGTAATATAGATTAAAGTAACAACAGCAAAAAAAGCAATTCAAAAGAAACTAAAATATGTTTGGAGATGCATGACTCTACCATAAATCCAAACCCAAAACACTTTTATTAGGCTTATAAAATGTTTAGACTATGCAGTTCTAGTGTAACATTTTCCCCTTATCTTGATTGGAAAGTTTTCAAGCAGGATAGAAGTATTGCTGAAAGATCTATGATAATCCTTTAGTATTAGATAAATTTTGAAAATGGTTCTCTATAAGACACGTGAGGAAAAGACCATGTGGAAACAAAGGAGGACATTGCATTTACCATGAACGTAAAGCCAAGGGATACATTCATCCACTAGAAATTAAGAAGAGCTAAGCTTCCCAAAAAAATTGTGTCTGGTAAAAAACAAGCTTGGGGGAATAAATCAGGATTAGTTTAAAATATCTGACTGCATCATTTAGTACAAGTGATGAAAATGTGTTTGTCTTCTAGCATCTATTAAAAAATAAGTAAAAAATATTATATATGAAAGTTTTGTCGTCAGCAAAACTCAAGCATAATAAAGACAAGAAAATGTACCTCTCTAGAGAGCCTCATGGAACTTTAACCATAGATCCTCTTTGTTCTGAAGTAAATTACTAATCAGTGCACATAAATACATATTTGTAGAATGCTATATTTCCCTGCTTTTTGTTGTTGGTTTTTATTTGGGGTTCTGGTTTTGCTCAGGGTTTAATCTTGACTCCGTGCACAGGAATCAATCCTGATGGAGCTCAGGGTACCATATATAGTGCCAGAGATGGAACCTGAGTTGGCAGTATATAGAATACCCAAACTTTTGTATTAACTCTCTGGCTCCCCTTACCTGTTTAAAATGTAAAATGTAATACTTATTAAATTTTAAAGTTAACGGCATGGATTTTGCTTAAAGGAATAGGAAAACACAAGACTAGGTATAATTAGAGTATTTCAACAGCACATTTAAACTTAACTTTTTAAATGCTGTTGAAAAAGGGATGTTTTAATATAAATTGGTTTTGATTGTTCCAAAAGCATAGGTTGAAGAGAGTGGTATCTGTCTGATGCGTGAATGAATTTCTTTTGTAATTCCTGAAACATGGACATCTTACTCTATGGACATGCAATCATACAAATGACTATGATATTTATAATTATCAATATTAATAGATATCTCCGCATGGCAGAGTCTGGCAAGCTCCCCGTGGCATATTCGATATGCCAAAAACAATAAGTATCACAATGGAGATGTTACTGGTGCCCATTCGAGCAAATTGATGAACAGGAGGACAGTGGTACAGTGCAATAGATACCCAACAAAGAAAAAACAACAAATAATAACCCAATGTAAGAAAATGCATCATAGCGTCTTAAACAAATAGTGAACTCCTGGGTGAGACAATTCACATTTTATTACATTAGATTATAGAAAGCACCTTTCCACAGTAAACTCACTGTTTATAAGGCTACAACTTGTGATTGTCATTATGTTAAAACAGACAAGGAAACAGAATATGGTGACAGAAAAACTCTATGAAGGAAATGGAGGCACTAAGGGTAGGGATGGTTCTGGATCTCTGGACTTTGCAGATATAGGCAGATAAGGCAAGACATTCCAGAAACTGGTGGTAGTCTGCTTTGTATAAGCAGTGTACATACCTGCTGGAAGGAGAGAAATATATGTTTTCTGACCAAGCAGTTGAAGAGAAGCTAATGTAAAATTATTAATTACTCTCGGTCTTGATATTACACATTTTTGATCCAAGCCATTATGTCTTAGAAATCTGGACATCATCAATTTCCATTGGTGTCAAGCTTATTTCTGAAAATCATGGATTAAGGCTGTTTGTTTGTTTTTACCTCCTGTGAGTTATGTAAAAAAGAGATAGTGAGCAGTTTCATGATATCCCTATAGGGGTACTTTGGGAGGCATTGATTGCATAAAAACTCCCAAGAAGGTGAGATCAATATTTATATGACTAGAAAAACTGATTGTGATGTTTTAGACATATATGGGATGTTGGGAAAGATTCAGAATACTTTGGCAGTGTTGAATTCACATTTAAGATGGATTTTTGTATGGCACGTGTCAGAATATAGAAATTGTAAGTGATTTGTTAAAGGGAGAAATAAAAGCAATATGTATGTGTATATGAAGTCCTGAAACATGGAAATGGTAAAACACCCTTAGACAAAATAGCATAATTTCTGCCACATAAATATTACATATTTATTACAATATATATGTATATATATATACTAAAACACTCTGATGCTTGAAATTGGAAGAATCCTAGAATATCTACGAAGCCTAAGAATCCATTAGAGATGGGTCTCACGGATTCGCAGTTTAAGTAACCCCTTGCTTTGTGTCTTTTAATCTGCATTACCATTCCTACCTAACTCTTCTTAGTAACAAGTAAGCTACTTTCAGAGAGTTAAACATTTTCAGTGACATAATAAGCACACATATATAAATTTTTAATAAGAACCAAGAAGAGAGAATAAACTAGAAAAAGATGGTGAGCTATAAAGAAATTCTTCTATTTCTTTAAGCTGTTGATAGTGACTTTATATTCCTAATCTATTTCTCCAAGATTTCTTTAGATTGTTTTGAAATCTATTTCACATTAAAATTCCTGTAATTCCATGATACCATTTAGGTAGAAAGAAATTAAGTAGTGAAAATTGAATAGACAGTAAAAATAAGGATTCAAATCTATCCTAGCAGTCTCACTGTCCAATATAGAGTACAGTTGTGTGTTTTTTTTTAATTTTTCAAAATCTTTTTTGTTTTTATCCTTTATCTCTCTCCTCTTTCCATCTCTTTCTCTCTCCCTCTATTTCAGGCACACACACAAGTTTTTATCTACATTCAATGTTTTCTCTATAAGCCCAAATGCTATATTAATTACACATATTCCTTTTAAAAAATTTATGATGAAATAATTGAAAGACATTTCTAAATATGTCATCTAAAAACAATCACATCTTTTTATAGTTACTATTTTATTTTTATTTATTTATTGTATTTATCTCCAGCTCATGGATCTTACTTTAGATTGTAACTTCTTCTTCTTCTTCCTCTTCTTTTTATATATATATTCAAGGAAGCCTACAGGTTCGTTATCAGTTAAATAAGGAAGAAACCCACGTATTCACTATTGATGGTGAAAACTTTGCTGACAGAAGGATGCATCACTTGAAGATTAACCGAGAAGGAAGAGAGCTTACCATACAGGTAGAGTTATTCTCAATCAGTCAAATGTGCTTTAGCTGATCAGTGAAACTATTTTGATCTTCTACCCAGAGTCAAGTATGGAAAATTAGTTCTGGGAATAGCTATGAACCACACTTGGCCTCATCCTGAAAGACTGGAATTTTCTGTGTTTACTCTATGCTCCCGTTTTCTACCAGTATCAACGTCATCTAGAATTGTTAGAAATTTAAATTCTCTGGTGCCACATTAGAACGACTTAACCAAAACCTTTAGCAATAGAGTCCATAGATGATTCTGTTGACTGCTCAAATGTGATCACTGTAGTATAATGATAAAGACATGTAAATGAAGAGGGGTTCATAAGAGGTTTACTAGGGTTATTGTCTAATGTATTTGCCAAGATTTTTGTTTATTTGTTTTGTTTTATTTATAACCCAGATTTGAATTATAAGTAATGCTCCAGTACCCACATTGTGTAAGGGCTAAAAACCACCTTCCAGGCGTTTGCAATTCATCAATAATCTCTAGTGTCCTTTGAATCATTGTACTTTCAACTCTAAAACTTTGCAGGTACTTATTCAATAAAAACCCCATTAAGGTCCAGAGAAATAATATGGTGGGTATGCCATTTACCTTCCATGCACCCAAACTGAATTTAATCTCAGAACTCTATATGATCCCTAAACCATGTGAGCAGAGTCAGGATAAACCCTAAACACAATGGGTGTGGTTTAAAAACAAAAGAACCAAAAGAAGATAAAACCCCTCTAATTAAATATCACTTAAAGCTTTAACCAGATAACAAAGGAAGGAGAGGAGTTAAGTGAAACAATTAGTGCTAAACAACCAATCACCTGGTTGTTAAAGCTCTAACCAGATAACAAAGGAAGAAGAGAAGAAGTTAACAACCAGGTGACTTCTTATTATACTAAAAAAAAATCATGTACTTCAACATTTAGCTCTTCCTTGGGTGACACTGTTGCTCAGGCTTGTCAAAGTTCCCAGGAAGTGTCAGTATAAGAAGCTAACTGTATTGGAAATTGAGGAAGATGCAAGGGGTACAACTTTTAGGATCTTTGTGTATCTTCAATTCCAAACACCCTTCCTTTTTCACATAGTCAGCCATTTTATTAACTGTAACCTTTTCTGAAAACTGAGCAACAAAAGTATGAGATAGAAATCCCTGCTTCCAGCTGGAATGTATATGTATAGTTCCCAAAGAGTGGGAAGTCATTGAGAGCTTTTAATATGGGCAAGAAAAAAACCATGATGAAGGGTTTGAAGGATTGATTCTGAACCCATTAAGATTGAACAAATTGTCTATGGACGCCTTAGTTATTGAAAAACAGAAAAAAAAAAATCATTGAACCTAAAGGTATAGAGACCATCAGGCAAGTCAGGTGTACTGTAGTTGTGTGATGGACACTGTCTTTATAGCCCACAAGACAACATGCAAATCAACATGAGGTGCTTATTTATTCATTTAACAAATCCCATATTGAGTTACTTTTCAAGTTTCTGTATAGTAGTACTTTGTTGGATAAAAGTAGTATCAACTCTCAAAAAATGATAACTTATGGGAATGGGGGAAGGAGGATAGGAAGGGAAAACTGAAAATGTCGCATTGTTGTATCCAAATGTATGGTAGAATAAGAAGAAAAAGCACTAAAATTTTAGAGAAGAGTTCAGATAATCTTATCAAAGCATTCAGAAAAACTTTCTGGAAGAAAGTAGACTCTGGGAGCTCTTAGAACTCATATACAAGCATTTGTTGAACAAGTTTTACAAAAATTCAGAATTAAAAAATATGATAACTGACTGAGACTGCACAAATCTTGAGGGAGATGTGGGGTAGTGAAGCAAACGCCATATTTTGTGATGTGTAAGTCACAGGAAAGTGGGACAACTGCTTGAGATACTGTACAGCTTTGTCCAGCATATTGATTTCTGTGTCCTCAGTCCCCTGATCATTAACACAAGGATAATAAAACCTATTGTCCATTACTCTAAAGATAAATATTCTAAAGCACTTAGAAAGATGCTTTAGCCTGTCATCCCAAACACACCAAGTGTTTAATAAATAAGAAATGTTACAGTCTTGTTGAATAAAATGATTTTTTTAAATGCAATCACACACCACAAATCATAAGTACCTATAAGGAATTTATCTTAGCTGAATTCAGGAAGATGGAACATCACAGCACTGGGAACTGGCAGAATCATATATTAATCCTACATCAATTATTCTGGAGGCGCCTGGGCTCTGTTCGTAGCCAATAGGGTCTAGGTCTTCTCTTCTTACAAAGGAACTTTAGAAAAATGCAGAAAGTATCATAGAAATATTAAAATAGAGTTCAGAAGCACTACAAAATAATGAGTTAAGGAAGTACTTCCTGGAATGATTAGGAAGAGACTAAACTAGAATTAGCAATTGGTGAATTGGGGGTGGTTCTCTGAAGGATGACCCTAGAAATAGAGTCTCATAGAATCCTAGTGGTGGATTTTGCTTGTGTCTGCAAGATGGCTTATCAACTTTTGGTGTTCTAGCAGTTGTTCAGCTAGCCTCTACTCACTAAGACAAATCAATATTTTCTCAGGAACTCTTTAGCCTAGTACATACTTGAATGAGACTAGGTCAGAATAGTTGGGGCATAAGGAGCAGTGTTACATCTAAGGAACAAAAAGTAAGAAATGGGGAATGAGAGTGTGTTTCCATTTAAGGTAATCTTGCACAGTATGTTTCTGTGAAGGCGTTATTTGTTTGCTTGTTTTCAGCAAAGGAAATGGCGAGAAAAATCTCAGTGGGGAGATAAATATCTGTCAAAAGCTGTACAGAAATTCCCAGGGAGAAAACTTTGTGTGAAAGCCTTTATTTCACCAAGAGGAAAGAAAGGGGTATTTTATGTGCATTGTGGGAGAATTAGCAAGACATTTTCCCTCTCTCCAGAGAGAAAATCTCTGAGAATGTCTTACTCTCTGTGTTTTCAAGTTATTTCAGGAGGGGAGTGTTTTTATGTCTTTTGAAAACAGGGTATTACTGACATACCTTTTTTTTCTCTGCTTTTTTTTTTTTTCAGATGGATCAGCAACTCAGACTCAGTTATAATTTCTCTCCAGAAGTTGATTTCAGGCCTGTAAGGTCACTCACATTGGGCAAAGTCACAGGTTTGTTTAGTCTGTTCCTTCCTGGTGGAGTTTATTAAGATAAATCAATCAATCATTTTTGCTGAAGATTATTTTGGTTCAGTCTAGACACTTTTAATCCCATGATATCCAAGCTATAGAAACAAGATTTCTAGACTAGAATATGCTCAGATATACATGTGGCAGAGTAGAAACTGATATTTAGAGCTACATTATGGAAACTTAAATAAGCTAACTTAAGAGAAAAAACATGCATGGTTATTGACTTAATTTTTAATTAATTTGAAATATTTAATTTTTCTTAAATTTAGTTTTTACTTAAAATTTAGTACATTGTGGGGCTACATAAAGAGTTTAGCAGGGAGGAAGATTGGCTTGCATGTGGCTGACGGAAGTATGATCCTAAGGACCACTTATGGTTGTCAGAGCCCCACCAGAAGTGATCCCTGAGCATAGAATCAGGAGTAAACCCTAAACACCACTGGGTCCAATCTAAAAAAGAAAAAACAGAAAAAAAATACAACTCAATTGCTTTTTTTCAAATCCATACTCTCTAGTAGTTTACACCAACTGCAGAAGTACCAATGCTTAAATATTATATTGATTTTTTTTTCTATTGCAAGTTCTGGAAATTATCAGATTATATGAGGTATCATTCCTATTCAAGATAGACATTTCCATGTTTCTTTTTGATGACTTGAACATATTTCATACCAAAGCGATTTTGTTTTTCATTTAAATTTCTCTCTCTCTTTTTTTTTTTTTTTTGCTTTAGCACAGCGGTAGGGCATTTGCCTTGCACGCAGCCAACATGGCCGACCCAAGTTCGATTCCTCCGCCCCTCTCGGAGAGCCCGGCAAGCTACCGAGAGTATTCGATATGCCAGACACAGTAACAACAAAGTCTCCAATGGAGACGTTACTGGGCCCGCTCGAGCAAATCGACGATCAACGGGAGGGCCTTTACCTTTACCTTTACCTTTAAATTTCTCATATGCTTAAATATGTCTGTGCTTAAATTTTGTCCATTATTAATATAGATATTAATAACAAGTCTCATTCCCCTGACCCTGAAAGAACTTCCAGTCATTGGGAAAGAGCTGAGGAGAAGCTGCTAAAATCTCAGGGCTGGGATAAATAGAGATGTTACTGGCACCCACTTGAGTAAATCCATGAACAAGGGATGACAGTGACTGTGACAGTGAATGATATAGATAATTCAATTTTTTTGTAGGTTTTTCCTAGCCTATCCTTTCAAAGATTTTCTCTTTTAGTCTAAAGTGTGATCTTGTGAAGAGTACACTGCTGAATTTTGTAGTTGGCTCAGTCTTGCTATTTTTGTTTTATAAATTTTCAAATATAGACCCTTTTACAATGTTGGGTTGCTTAGTTTTATTTCTGTGTCCTGTTCCCTATTCATTCAGCTCTTCCTATGTTATTTCTAACTTAATTATATTATATAGCATAAAATATTAATGACTGGAGGCATTTTAAACAGAAATGCATTAAACACCAGAAATGAGTTGCTGACTAAATTTATCACTGTACTTACAGTGTGAATTCTTATAAGAGATTTTTGATAGACTACCCTAAAAGTTCTGAGCTGATTAATTTGGAGATATTACTTTAGATTCCATTGCTAAATGCAAAAATAGTGTCTAAAACCACTGTGGCCCCATGCAGTATATCAGTTCCCAAGAGCAGAAAAGTCTTGCCAAAAACACTTTGTGTTACCATGACTTTCTGTAATAGTAGAAAAGGCTGTATGAGAATGGAAAATGGTCCTGTTTTGTGACTCTGTTCTAAATTGATAAACATTATCTATTTTCCAGAACATAATAGGCACCCGAAAACATAGCTGCAGTTCTATTTGGAAGATTTCAATTTTTTGTTTTTCGAATGGTAGTTAAATGAGCCAATCAGCAGTGATTAACTTCTAGATTGAATCTTAATTTATTTCATATTCCAGTCCCATTAATAAAAAGTGTCTTACATAGACACTGTTATTTTTGACTTACCACTGCAGTGGCTAATTTACTCGTGCTCATTACTTTCTATAGTTCATAGCCTCTACTTTCTACCAAAACCAATATCCTTCTTTCTTAAGTAAATACTTTTTAATGTATTTGATAATAAGAGCCCTTTATCTGGAAGAGTCTTTATTTTATAATCATTATCAGAAGATAATTTCTCTAGATGTAATTTAGGATCAAAATTTATTTATATCTTAAATAATTCTTTAGGTGTATGATGAAGCAAAGTCACACTGGCTATGATTCACAACACTGCCTAATTCGGCATAATGTGATGGCACAGTTGTAATTTGACATTGCTCATACTAAGGGTATTAAAACCATCACAATCAAAATTGCCAGGATCAGGATTCTTTTTGTGCAGGATAAGCAATTTTCAACATTTAGCAAGTATATAATTATGCTCTTCAATTCAGTTTTCTACTGCCCTTAAAATGTTGACTATCAGTATCAGTATGTTCTGCATTTGTACTGTGACCGTCCCCATCCTCAACACCCACAAGCTAATTTTAATCTGGTGCTTTGCAGCTTTACTTGCATGTATCTTGATGTATATTTCTTTTCAAGTATATTAGTTAATATTTTGTTTCCTCTAGCTACATATGTGTCTAATTCATATCTATTATTCATATTCACCTTCATTATTTATCAACATTTTGAACATATCATAATAGTTTGTCATTATTCTCTATTCAGTTGTCTTAACCTTAAATTTTCTATCTTTATCCTCCTACATCTTCCCATTGCTTTATTGTAAGTTTTATCTTTGTCTCATATAGAAGTTTAAGCAATTAATATTTCCCATCAAATTCACTATTTCAATCTTCATCTATGATTAGTAAACCATTAAAGCATTGAAAAAATGATTTTAAAAATTATTATTATGTCTAAATGAAGCATGTCCTTATTTTTCACGTACAACTGTTAAGATAGTCTATTGTTCTCATTCCTTTGTTTGTTTTTTATGCTTTTAAGTATTCATTTAAGTTTGAACATGTTGTCTTAGAATTATATGTGAAGTTTGTAAGAATCTAAACCTATCTTCTGCTTTTTTAAATTTCTTTCTATGGCAGCATTTTGGCCTCACATATTGTGTGAATGTGTGCATTGTATTTGTGTCACATATTTGCTTGAAATTAATGCACTGGGGATAAATTAATCAAAAATTCAAAAGTTTTTCTCCAGGCAAGATAGTGTTTATCTTTTGCTAAGTGTCAGGGAGGGGAGTGTTATCTAATTTAGAATAATTTTAATTTGTTATTTTTATTTTTTATCAATGTGTTGAATTCTAATTTAGAGTTCCAGAATTGAGTAAGAACAAGTGTCTTGTTGAAAGTGCTTAAGAAATGTTATTGTGCTGTGTCATTTTTCTATGAGGACTGAGTTTGAATCCATATCAGGGGTAGAATGAATATATGCTATCCCTGTGGCTATTAGGTGATATTTTTTCTAGTTAACTCTTTTTATAAAGTTAAATGTTAAGAGTCTTAATTTTAACATATTTACACTTTACAGTTTAGTTTTGGATTTCTGTCTTTCAAAAAGACCCATAAGTGCATTTTCCTGATGCAACCTTAATGATGATCTCTTTCACTGCCATGGTTTTATTTTTCCTCTACCCCAAAAATTCCCTGCCCAAATATATGATTTCTTTTTGTTTTCCAAAGCTCAGCAAGGTGTTAATTTAGATCTTTGAACATGTGGTTTACAATACGTCCTATGATACCTAAGTATGCTTTGGATCACTTAATCCTCACTTCAGACAAATCAGAAGTCTCTTGGAAAATAATTAGACCTACATGACAACAAAGCTCAGGTTTTTTTTTATGTTATTTGTGCACTGCAACTCAAGAAACGCCGTCTCATTTAAGATAGCTCTCTTCATAAGGACTACACAGGAAGTACAGTGGATAGAGCATTTGCTTTGCAGGCAGCTGATATGATTTTGATCTCTGTTTCCACATGCTGTCCTTCAAGTTTCACCAAGAGTGATCCCTGTACACAGAGTCAAGAGTTAGCCCTGAGAACACCCAGTTGTGGCCCAAAAGTAAAAGTAATGATAATAATACTTAATACTTAATAATTAATTATTAATTATTAATTAATTAATACTTAATACTTAATAATACTTAATAATCATTAAAAATTCCTTCATTTTTTTCTTGTCACTATTTATGACATTAAGTTGACCTTTCAATATTCTCAATTAAATCTTTAAATATATGACATAAAGATAAAACTTTAAAGTCAGTGCTCGCTCAACTGTTTATAACAGCCAAAATCTGGAAAAAACCCGAGTGCCCGAGAACAGATGACTGGTTAAAGAAACTTTGGTACATCTACACAATGGAATACTGTACAGCTGCTAGAAAAGATGTCACTGTCACTGTCCTCCCGTTGTTTATCGATTTGCTCTAGTGGGCCCAGTAACGTCTCCATTTTTAGACTTGTTGTTACTGTGTTTGACATATTGAATATGTCACTGGTAGCTTGCCAGGCTTTGCTGCGGGGGCAAGATACTCTCGGTAGCTTGCCAGGCTCTCTGAAAGGGGCGGAGGAATTGAACTCAGCTCGGCCGGGCTGGCTGTGCGCAAGGCAAACACCCTACCGCTGTACTATCGCATGCAAGTGGTTCTACATGGAAAGTATCATGCTAAATAAAATGAGTCAGAAAGAGACAGACATAGAAAGATTGCACTCATTTGTGGAATACAAAGTTACAGAATGGGAGACTAACACCCAAGAATAGTAGAGAAAAGTACCAGAAGGATCACTCCACAGCTTAGAAGTCGGCCTCACATGCTGAGGGGAAGGCAGCTCAGATGGAGAAGGGACCACCAAGTAAAGGGTACCAGGAGGACCCTGGGATGGGAAATGCGAACTAAATGTAGACTATATACCAAACATGATGTACACTTAATACTTCTATTGCAAAACACAATACCCAGAGAGAGAGAGAGAGAGAGAGAGCAAGAGGGAATGCCCTGCT